AATATTTATATATTTACGAATAACGGTCATCCATTCATCAAATTCATTATCGGATAACGCTTTAAAATGATATGTCACTGTTCCAGAATCCATATTTATTAAACGTAATGATTGACTGGATGAAATGGTTGAAAGAGCGATATGTATCGTTCCTCGACAAAGACTATGGGGATGTTGATAATATGAAAGCAAACCATTGTCAATTTTGACCCAACGTTTTGCCCAACCTGTATAACCATTAATGTATGAATAAAGAAGGTAAATTTCAACAAATTCTAGATTTACATATAAGTAGGATTCTAACCTTGCATCTTTTTCTTCTTTTTTTTTAACAACCAACCGGCAATATCTGGTTTGGGTTCTTCTTGGTCATTATCTAAATCTGTACAAATTTAATTTTGTGTTAATTTTGAAATTTAAATGTCATGTAATTGGAAGTCTAAAAACAACATACCATCTTTTAATGTCACCGAAAGTGATAAAGACTTGGAGGTAGTCCGTGAAAACGAATTATCTTTTAAGATAAATATATGAAAAATTATATAAATATGATTGCATATTAATTCAGCTAATATTGGAAAATACATAACAGTATTTATTACCGAAACATAAACAATAGGTTCCTTCTTCAGTTACTTTATAACTGCCTTTAATTGTGTTCATGGCGGAATTATAATGTTCGATAGGTAATATCTCTTTTAAATCAGGATCTTTAATTATTAGCGTAGAACCAGTTTTCTTACGTCCTCTGTTTATAGAATTCGAATCCACTAATGTGGACCCCACATCGCCTTCATTCGAATCATCATTCTCTTCAGCCTTGATTGTTTCCAAGGAATTTTTACTTTTAAGACTAGCTGAATAAGTACTTTTTGTCGAAGATTTAGGTGTGATGATTGTATTTTTTATAGAAGCGGAAAATAAACTACTTCCATCTTCTTTAAAAGTTCCTGTCGAACCTGAAGCCGCGATTGCAGCTTTTCTTTGGTACAATCCAAACGAAATATTTTTTTTCTTAGTAGAAAAGGACCATATAATAGTTTTTCCTGTCGGTACATTGACATAGTGGACGAAAATGTCTCTAGGAGGGACTTCAACTTCTTGCATATTAAAAAATTGAGTGAAGTGAGCAAAAGCATAAAAGATACACAAACTGCATGCGTTCGTGGTTTGCTTTCTTATAAATGTAGTGAAACAAACGCTAAACTAACCGTACAAGTACTGATGAAACCAAACCAAGCATAAAGATTATTACTATGCCGTCTTCGCGTTGGAAAAATTAATTGGTTTTTATTAGTACACCATACAATCGGACAATTTGTAATTATACCGTTACTGCTGTTCGATACTGCTGTACTGAATTATGTATGCATGCCGATCATTTTTACCCGTGTCTCCTCTTCACCAATTAGAATCTTCAAATTTTATCGCAAAAAAAACAAGATTACGTTTATTATTACGTAGGTACGTACGTGCGTGTTGGTGCAGATCAGTAGCACCTAACGATTACGATAAACAAAAGAATTAGGATTAGCAGGAAAGTCCCTATCCGACCATTATTAGACAAAAAATTAGGATTATTAAAGGTCTGAAGGACTATATTGATATTAAAGTTTCATCTTTACATACACCCAACTAACGCTAAAAATTAAAATGACCTACATTATAAACAACCAATCAAACTTTAACACACAGAAATCGGGTGTACTACAGTCAGGGAATACAGTACTATCTTCGGACAATTACTTTGCTACCTAAACAAAACTACAGTATTCTGTACGTTAAAAATGGAATACGGATTATAACAATATTTCCTTAGCATAAACAAATGAATCATACTTTTTTACTATAGTAAATTTTTATTTGATCAATTGACATTCGCCTCGATTCAGTGGAGGCTTGAGATGAGTTGAAGACTCTGGACACTTGGTCCTAATTGAGTTGTTTTTTGATATCCTAAGAAATTTCAGTTGTAGAATTATTTCGGATGAAATAGCACTTTGTCTCAGAAAATAAAAATATTTTTTTATATTGATTCTTGAAGTTTTTTTTTTACCATATTACTAACCTCAAGAAACCCAATTCGATTCACTCGGGACACTCTCGTCACTCGGATGGTTAAAAAAATTCTAACACAAGTCACTCACCTGTGAGCTACCCGGGCATTATCCAGTCTTAAGACTAACTGTGGTTTATCG